GTATCTGTAACTGCAGCTATAGCTATGGCTGATGCCGGGAGTATCTATATATGTATGTATATGTGTATGTGTGTGTGTGTGTGTACGTATATTTCTATTTCTGTGAGTGTGTCGTTGTCGCCGTTGTTCGCTGTGGCACGTCGCGTATTCTATGCAACGTTCAAATGTGATTGCACTTTTCTCAACTTTGCACCAAAAAAAAAAAAAACAAAAAAAAAAAATGCAGAATAAAAGAAAGAATGAGAGAAAAATAAAAACATGAGCATTTCGGGCTGAAAGTGTTGCGCACGTTGATGCTGACCCACAAACCAATAAATTCCAGCTCAAGTATCTGAGGAATGCAACCGAAATGAGGAAGAGGCAGATGCAGCAGATGCTGAATAGCAGCAAATCTTGCGCGTAAAATGAATTATGCGTCGTTGTGCTAAACATTTTGACAGCAGATACATTGCCCCGAGCTGAAGCTGAAGCCGAAGCTTAAGCTTGAGATACAAGCTGCTGCTGCTACAGATACAGATACATACGCACACACATGCATAGCGATACCAAAATACAGCTATTGCTTTTTGGGGCATGCGAGGAATGCAGCCTGAAGACGACCTCTGTCTGGCTGGGCCTTATCACTTCATTAGGCCATAAATTCGACAACAAAACATGAGCACAAAAAGCAGCATGAAAAATTCCTCAGCGCGTTGTTCAGTCTTCTTTTTTATTGAGTAGCAGACAACAGAGACACACACACACACACACACACGCACAGTTACAGCCGCAGATACTTTGTGGCAGAAGCCTGAAGCTGCTGCGTCTGCTCCGCCTTCGCCAGAGTCATGTTAATTATGCAGCATGCGCTGCATGCATCCACCAGATACAGATACAAGCACGAATCTCTCTATATGAATACGAATACGAATACGCGTGCGCAGAGCCATAAGCCTACACTTCAGATACGAACTTCAGAATATGTTATGTGCACTCAAATGGCATTCGGAAAGTGCTACTGAAAAAAAAAAAAATACAAAAGATTCGTGCGCCCAACAAAAGAAACACAACGAGATAAACGTCGTGGCGGAGGAGGAGGAGAGAGAGAGAGGAGCAGAGGGGAGCGTATCTCTTGGAATGTCTTTAAGCTGTTGACTGCACTTCCTCGGGCCTTCAGCTTCGGCTTGATCTCCATTTCAGCTGCTGTCTGCCTGCTCCCTGCCCCACGCTCCATCGCATGAAGCGAGCTTCGGGTTCGGGCACTGCCAACAGCTGATTACAGCGAACGGCAGTGCCTGATTAGGGCAATTAATTGCCAGCGATTGGAATGCCCCACGTCGCCCCTCCTTCCCCAGCACGCCCCATATATGGCCATAGTATGCCAAGCAGATCGGCAACACATGGCGCACATGCCAACTGCGGGCTGGGTATATTATGGCGAGGAATGCGACTTGGATTGGGATTTGCGTTAAGCCCCATGAAGTGTTTACGAAATAATGTGCGATTGCCTGGACTTGGCGAGATAGCAAAATTGAGTTTTCATGGAATTTCATAGACAAGTATATGATAATATATAATATTTTATATATTGTTCAAGAAGTAGATCTCTTAACTATATAGTTCAAAAAACATTCCCCAAAGCAACATCAGGAAATGCTTCAGCATATCTCATATACATATATGCATGTATGTATATCTGCATATATATATATCAGCTTACATACATATAGAGTCTTCGATTACATTCATTTCGGGCTTGGTTGTCTCCTTCCGCTTGATACCAAATATATATGTATATACATACATATACATATAAATGCCTTAGCAACTGCAACAGGCACAAACAATGCAAAAGTATCTCACAGCAATTTATCTTGAGTATGCACATTCCTGCGCTTGTTTCGTTTCATTTCACTTGAGTTTTTTTTTTTTCGTTTTCTTTTGCTTTTTTGGTTTCTTTGCTTTATTATTTTTCATTGCATGCATGGAAAATTGCTACCTTTGCAGGCCAAGCTGCGGGCACACAAACGCATATATCACGATCACTCAAGAGCCAGCTCAGCACATGGCGCAGCCCAAAACGTCGACGAGTGCAGAAAAAAAAAAGTAATAATAATAAATAAATAAAAATAAAACAAATCAAATATCAAGGAGCTCTCGAGGGCTTCGAGGAATGCGGACGATTAAATACCCTGGCTGGCATGAGTGTAGCTGTAATTGAAGTTAGCTCTAGCCCGGATTTATATAGTTAGTATTATATGAAAATGTTATTCACTTAAAGACTTTTACTCGTATTTATATTAACTTCAGTTTATATATCATGTTTTATATAAATATAAAATTCTTTAAGTTCTTCAATCCGTGATAAGTTGCCTAGTAAACCTGTAATACCTTAGCTAAGGGCAGCTTGAAATCCAAGCCCATAGTTCGAGTTCAAATCGGAGTCCGAATCAGAGTCAAGAGGACTTATGGCTAGCGAAGAATTGGCCCATATGCTACTCCCGTTGTTACTCCACTCCAATGCCGCACGACGCTCCTCCCCCCGCCCCTCTGAAAAGGGAGGGGCCACTTAATTTTCTGCTCACGTTTGCAGCTCTGCAGCGCAAAGTGAGTGAAAAATTGCCCAGCTGCCGGAATGACAGCTGAATTATTATAAATCGATATGCTGCACTAGAGTGGTACTTAACTCCATACCAAGAGATTGCAGCGATCGGGCAGCATTATTTACTTTGTAGCTGGGCGCAGCTTTTCAAGGGTAATGCCACGACAGACGACGGACCATGGACGACGGACGGCGCTCTTAATTAGCACATGTTGAAAAGGAAATCATTATGCCTGATAAAAATCACAAGTGTTGATTGCTGCAAGTGGCAAGCGGCAAGCGGCAAGCTGCTGCCGGGGAGTGGCAAGAGTGGGGCAACAAGTGCGAGCGAGTTGACAGGAAAAACTCACAGATCGAAAACTCAGATCGCATTTGGCTTGTTGGCAGCTCGCAGCTTGCCACTGGCAGGTTGCAGCTTGCCACTTGCAACTGGCAACTGGCAAATGGGGGAAAGACACACACTCTCTCACATACACACACACACACACACACACACACACACTAACACACAGCCAGAGAGATACAGCCGCTAAAATAGGCAAAACATGCAGCGCGACCAGCAGCGCACTTATGTATCTGCCAGATACATAATGTATCTCTCTCTCTATGCATGTGGCATGGGGCATGTCGCTGCACGTTGCACGTTGCAAGTGCAAAGAAAATATTTTTTGACGCTTTGGGCCGCTCCAAACTAGAAAATGTTGCTGCTGCTGCTGCTGCTGCTGCTGCTGGCGTTGCATTCATGCGCGTAATCAAATTGTAATCACGGCCTGGACGAGGGCAGCAACAGCAACATCAGCAACAACAACAACAGCAACAGCAACAGCAGCTTTTTCTTGTTGTTGTTAAGTGGAAATACTTGTTGCACAAATGCAATGCGGGCTGCTGTTGCCGCTGCTGCTACTTTGGATCTGCAACAGCACAGTGAAGCCTCGCTAAATGCAACGCGCAACATATACAAATATAATAAAAGTAGACTCCAAGAAATATAAATTTATATAGTTTTAAATGCAAATTGCAATGATTAAAAATAGGCTAAAAGAACAGAACCAAAAGCAAACTTAAATACAAATTTAACAGCTATGATTTCAATTAGGTTTTTAACAAAATTAATTGATTAATTTATAATAAAATCATGCAAGTTCATATCTATGTATATTCGTTGTTTTTGCACCATCTAGTTTTACTTTTTTTCTTGGCTTTGTTGTTGCTGTTTCTGCTGTTGTTGTTATTGCAATTGCCTTGTGCAATTTATTAAATGAAAAATGCCGTTTTACAGCTTTCCAAGTTGCATTGCCTGTATGTTGCTCTCCCTGTTCCCCCATCCCCCGTCTACTTCTTTCGATCCCTCTCTCTCTATCTCACTCGCCTGCTCTGCCTGCAAGCGTGTGTGTGTCTGTGTGAATTGGCTCTGGCATCTTTAGCAGCAACCAAATTGAATTTTATGCAAATTTTACTGTTTGTGCTCTGGCAAAAAATCGCCACATCTAATGCATAATGGCACGCATACTACACACACACACATACACTTACGCACACACGCACAGTCAGCTCTGTCATTTTGCGGTTTTTATGCAATTGCGTTGGCCAAGAATTAGAACATTTCATTTTGCACTAGCGATACGCATGTTTGTATATCGGTCACATATGATGTTAGTTACGCCGCTTTGGAACGATTGGGAATGAAATTGCCTGCAAGTAGCGCCAGCCCCCCTTCCATCATTCCACTGGCGCCACTGCGCTCGACTTTTATCAGCGGCTAACAAGCGGCGTCCGCTTTCGCTAGGCCCATTTTTATGTAAAACAAACGAGTTCGAGTTCAAGTTGGAGTTCGGATTCGAGTTCGAACACGAATTGAAATTCGACTATCATAACCGGTAGCCATTGTTACAATGGATTCGCTGATAATATGTGAACCCTCAATCAACGGACCTCAGCTAGTCTAAGAGCTGATTCCATATGACTGATGATCGCAGCTCCAGCGGCATCATAATTTTTTTTTTTTTTTTCTTTTGTCTTTTAGCTTTTTATATTTTCACAGTGATCGATGAAACTGTCACCAAAAAGCAACAACAACCGCAAAGCCAAGCTCCACGCTCGTTTACAGTTTATTCGCTAGAAATGTAAAACAAAAAAATTCCACTGCGTCGCCAAGTTGGGGCAAACAATTGGCTAAAACTGGCCAAAAGCGTTATTAGCATGGCCAACAGCGACGCTGACGCAGTTGTCTTTGACTTTTTGTTTATAAAAAAGAAAAAGAAAAAAAAACGAATTAAAGAAAAAGCAAAAAACAAACAGAAATACAAAACAAAATAACGCCCGTTGAAAAGTTGTACAGACAAGTGAAATACACAAGTATTTCAATACACTATAAAATGATCGTTTGACTATGTTGTAAGCTTGGTAGCACCCAAGCAGCAAAGGAATCGTGGCTATATTGCTCTGGAATCTAAAGTTATTCAAACATATTCTATAAAAAAACACTTTTCCAATCTCTCAAAGTGGATTTCAATATCAAATTAATTTGCATTCACCAAATGCACATATTCAAGGGTATTCCAAGTTCGGCCTTGCTGATCGCCGCGCTAGATCTGTGCTCGCCCCGAATGGGCCCCGAGGCTTGGCTCGCTTCGCCTCATGGTATAAATTTATTTATGGCTTATTGGAATTTTTGCGCGCTACCGGCAGCAATTTTTTTTTTCCAAATTCAATAACAGCTCGCATGCCGGCAGAGCGAGATGGCTAGAAGAGTGTGTTAGAGAGTCGGCGGCTAGACGCAGCGGGAGCGAGACGGTGCTATCCAAAGATGGGGCGAAATAATTGTGGCAGAAATATGCGAAACGTGCAAAACACCAATAAATTGAGCGAACAACAATTTTTTTTTTTAGACATATATAAATACATGTATAGAATTGTACAATAAATACTAGATGGAACTAAATATGTATTTCTTAGGGGAATTTTTTCGTTCATTATGGAAGCAAATTGAATGGAGGTTGAAAATTTACGTATGCATCTAAGGATAGACAGAATATATTATTAGACATTATATTATTATCTCCCGATGGGAGAGCAGACATAAGGACTGTTATATGTATTAAACAGTTTAAGGATATGATATAATATATTTAGTCCATAATTTTGAGTCAATTGATCAAATGAAATCCCCAATGATCACGATTCATGTGCTCATTAGCTAATCTTGTTGCTATTCCATACAAAATCATGGCCTTTATTCCACTTGGCACATGTTTACTACATACATACATACATATTGTACATATAGACACAAAATCTACTTGATGCATAACCCTAACAAAAATGCGCAGATGTTTCATCTCATTTCTCAAGCAAAAACGAAACGCAACAAAACAGCGAACAGAAAATTCCACAACGCTTTCGGTTTGTTTAATTCAGTGAAACATTTTGAACAATGTCCATGCGATTTGAAACAAACAAAGGGAATGTTTGTGTTAATTGAAAGCGTGAAGCACAGCAATACACACACACACACACACACACACACACACACACAGTCGGTCACACATATACACACACGCCAAAGCTCATGCATAGAGCAAAAGAATTTGAGAAATCAATTATTTCGAAACTGCAAAATTCCTACATACATTTGCAATTGTTTATGGTAAAAAGACACAGACAGCGCTCGTGTGCAAGTGCGAGCGAGAGAGCGAGAGCGCCGCAGCTGGAGAGAGCGGGCCGCACACAAATATGTGAACGAACGTCGAGGCGAAACGGCAAATGGCTAAATGTATCTATGGCCTGATGTGAACGTTGTCAGCTCCCCTCCCTCTCGCAGTCAACAACAACAGCTAGCCGCACCATCCGATCACACAACTGTGCCTATTGCACGCGCTCTCTCACTCTCGCACTCTCTCTCTCTTAGTCGCTCTCTTTCCATGTGCGCCGTGTGCATGTATGAGTGTGACACACCACACACACACACTCAGCTCTATACATTACGTATGAGGGATTTTTAGTTTTGCTTGCCTTTTATTTTGTTTTACGTTTTTTTTTTTTGCGGATCATTCGCTGAGCTTTATTTAACTTTTGCTCTCTCTCAGCTTGGCCCCCACTCCCCAGCTCCTCTTCTCACATTTCCCTCCACTGCGCCTTGTTGTCTGTGCTGTCGCCGTCGCCGCCGCCACCGCTCGCTGTGCCGTTCGCTTTGCTGTACATTTTTTTTGTTTTACATTTCAGTTTTTGTTTGTTGCCGTTGCTTCAGTTGAGTTCAGTTATACTTGGAGTCTTAATCATCGCATTGGAATGTTTACATGCTCAAACTTATTTCTTGTTTTATTTTGCTGCTGTTTTTCATTTTTTATTTTGCTGCCCTGTTAAAATATGTAATTTATTTTGCTTTTATTGCTGTCGGCTCTCTGTTGAGGCTGCAGCTGCTGCCGCTCTGCCTTGCTTCTGCTTCTGCTTCTTACCGCATTCCAATGCACACACACACTCGCAGCCGCACACACATATACACGCACACAAACATCTACGCTGGCAGATGCGCAACGCACCTTTTCTTTCCGGTTGGAATTTATATGGTTTTTTTTTTAAAGGCTTCCTTGACAAGACGTCTCTATAACTACATATTTATATATACACATATATAATTCTCTTACCTATCTCTGGGATCCAACCATGTGGTCTTTTTGTTGATGTGATCTATGTAGTAGGTCTTGCCATCAAAATCCCTGGCAATGTCCCAGCCATCCGGCAATGGGAATTCGCTGTGCTGTCCAGGCTGCTGATGATGATGATGTTGCACAGGGTGATGATGATGATGTGGATGTGGTTGTGGAAGCTGTCGCGGCTGTTGTTGTTGTTGATTCGACATTTTGGTAAAATAAAAAACTTGTCTGTCACTTGGCGCGCGTTTTTTTTCTTTCGATTTTGGCTTTTCGGTTTCTCTTGTTTATGCTATTTGTATTACTTTGCCTTGTGCAATGTACTACATACATACAACAACATATTTCCACGGACGCGATACACGATAAGCGAGCAAGTGAGCTAGCGAGCGAGCGAGTGAGAGAGAGAGAGAGGCAGCAAGCAAGGCGCGGGCGCGCGCTCTCAATTATTTATTTATTTTTTTTTTCATAACTGCATTCCATTCCAGCACAAACACACACACATACACACACTAATACGCGTACGTACACACAGGTCACACATACGCGGACAAAAACTCTCGCGCACGACGCGCGATCACTTTATTGTTGTTCGCTGTTATAGTTGTCGATGCTGTTGCTGCTGATGGTGCTGGTGCTGTTGTTGTTGCTGCTGGTACTGCTTCTTCTTCTTCACTCACAAGTCACACAAAACAGAGTGCAATTGAAATTCTGTGTTTTTATTTGCTTGCTTTTAATGCTTAATTAAAACTAATTAAAAAATAATTCAACGTTGCCCTTCTTTTCTTTTTCGAGTTCGAAACGCGCCAGCAAACGAGACCGATAAATATCAATGTAGCGTTTAACGAGTGTATTATTAGAGCTGGTGTTTTTCATAATTACTTATTGCGTACACATTTTCTAAGCAATGCATCTAGTTTCGATTATTTATTTGCATTCAAACTGATTTAATTTAGTTTCAAGCGACCGCACAACCGACCGCACGCTTCAACAACACATTCTACAATAACAATATTCATGTTGCCCAACATTGTTCATGGGAACACTTTTGTTTTAACAGTGCTCTGTTAATCACATAGTGTGTTCAAATGAACTGGTGGTTCGCTCAAAATGGCACTGTTATAGAGAAAGACAACAGACGTCTTTGCCTGAATATGCTGCTTACATGCCCGAGTCGTTTTAGAGACGAAATTTCAATAAATATTAAATGTAGAACAAACTGCTCACAGCCAAGTTATGTTATTGTTTAACTACTAACAACAGTTCTGTTATAACAGAAGCAGTCGTTCCTCAACATGAGGAGCAATAATTATATGCCACTGTAATGAACGAAATAGGTGGAGCCAGATAGAGTACGTCTATCAGATCGAACAACAGATAGCGCTACTGCCGAATCATTGCCATCTATGTGAGAAGGTTTGTAGAGCTAATACAAAGCTTAATTCTATTTGATACCCTGTAAACTGTTCGCCAAAAGCCGGCCGACAGGAAATAATGAATTTAAATATAAACCAGAGTAAGCTGACTAATTAAGTTAATTGAATGATAAGGCCAAGTTTGTTTCTTTCATTAGAATAAGTTTCTCAACTTTTCTTTCTGCCTTATTTTTCGTTTGTTGTATTGTTGTCACAGCACTGTTATTATTTCTTCTTAATAGGGGCAAATGCACTTTGCAACACTGTTTTGTAATGAAATTTTAATTAGCTTTTACAGCAGCGCACCTTTTTATGTGCTCACACTCACACACACACACACACACTTATTGCATGTGTATGAATGAGCACAATTACATGTTAAGCATTTTTGCATGCATTGCAAACAGCTCTCTCGCTCTCCCTCTCTCCCTCTATTCCTCTCTCTCTCTGCCCGTCTGCGTCTGTGTCTGTGTCTCTCTCTACTCTTTCTATTCTCTGCTCTGTCGTCGCCTTTGCTGCGCTGCCTTTAATCAGATAAGGACACAAGGTGGAGCTGCCAAAAGGGGCTGTCACGCCCATACACACATACGAGCAGGCAAAGGGCGTTTGTTACGGTTTTTCCTCTTTTTTTTTTTTTGTGCGGTCTGCTAAATCATTCGGAACAAGAAGATGAAGCAGATAATATGGCAAACACAGGAAAACAACAACAACAACAACAAGAGAAAGGCAAACGATTTTGATGAAGCAAAGTTTTTTTTTTTTTATATATTGAATTTGTAAAGGTATTAAAAAATGTGAATTTTAATAACACATAATGTTTCGATGGCTTTTTTTTAAGTAGATCGTTAAGGAAATAATATCTATATAAGTGGTCAGGAAAATAATAATGAATGGAAGTTTATGAATAATTTGTTTAAGATTTTAATGTGGAATGAAAAATTTGATCAAAAAGTGTGTGTAAGGGAGAGCGAGAGAAGGAAAGGGAGTCAAGGAGAGAGGAAGAAGGAATTAGGTATTTTATTTGAATGTATACGTATATATGTAAATTTATATAGAGCTTGATTCGAACTAACCCAAACTAACTATGACTAAACAAGTTAAGGAATTCATGGATATTACCCAGTAGTAGTAGATGTTAGATTGTTAATTAATGCTTGGACTAAATTAAGTTGAGAATTATGATCATTGTCGATGACAGTATTATAATGTATTCATTAAATGTGTACAGGGTATTCAGGTGTCGGGCACGCATAAATCATAATTAACCACGCGCAGAGCTGTGTGTAATGCAATTAAAGTTTCAACTTGTTTATGTGGATGCGACAGTGTCAAAGCCAGTGCAAAAACTTTTCATTATCAGCCGACAGAGGGGGTGGGGGCAAGATCTGAGGCAGGAGCAGGTGGTGAATGCATCGACTGCGCTAAAAGCTGTGCTACGATAAACGCTCAACCCGGGAAAGAAACTTTTAACATCGAAAAAAATGGCACCTAATATTAATGACACGCCCAGGCGACGGGCACAGGCGACCCGTAAACCAATAACAGGACTAACCAGAAAGTTAGCAAACAAACATGCAGGCAGCAGAAGAAGAGTGAGAGAGAGAGGGTGGGGGGAATGCTTGGGGATTAGTGGGTGAAGGCATTGGCATGCAGTTTGTAAAGTGAAACTTGAGCTACATGGGACACATGCACACACACACACACACACACATAGAAAGAGAGAGAGAGGGAGACACACGCGTTGCTGCACACACGGGCAGCACCTGAGCAGATCAGGGTCATAATCCCCTTGCCCAAATACCAACAAACATATCAACAACAACAACAACAACTGTGCGAGCAACTGTCGGACAATCAACTTCGACTAAAGCAGCC